AAAAAGTTACTCGAATCAATGACTGGTATTAATAAAGATCCATTCTTACAGATCATGAACTAAAAAAAGTTGGTTTAGTGTTTAGTTACTCTTTAAGCAGCACTGCTTTTTACAACATTGATAATATATAATGTTTCTGGAGCAGCAAAACCACATATCAGTGATTTCTGAAGGATCATGTGACACTGAAGACTGGAGTAATGATGCTGGAAATACAGCTTTGATCGCAAGAATAAATTACTAATTAAATTATATTCAAATGGAAACCAGTTATTTTAATTTGTAATAATATTTCATAATATTACTGATTTTACCGTATTTTTGATCCGATAAATGTTGCGTAAATTTCAGAAACAAACGTTTGAATGGTAAAGACTGTTAATCTGTTGATTATTTCTTCAATTCAGTTAATCCTATGTGATTTAATATACAAATGTCCATTATGAAACAAAAAAGCGTCCACCCAGAGGGTAACATAGAGTCGGCCCAGATCTGGCCCACGTGTGGATTCAACACCCGGATCTGGGCCGACTCTGTTACTGTCTGGGTGGCCGTTTTTTGTGTTGTTTAATGGCCGTGCTGTTATGTGTTGTTCTAGGCAGCGGAGTATAATGTGTTCGAGGGCATGGAGCTGAGAGGTGCGCCCCTGCTGGTCGTCTGCCAGGGGAAGATTGTTCTGGAGGACGGGAACCTGCACGCGACCTCCGGCACCGGACGCTTTATTCCCTGCACCCCGTTTCCGGACTTCGCTTACAAACGTGTCAAAGCCAGGAAACAGGTAGAGCTCGCGCTGGGAAGAGCACAGGTCCTGAACACACACGTGTGACAGGAACATCTTTTTATTTTATTCCCCTATACACTATTTTTTTTGTAGTTTAACATCATTTCCTATTGGAAAGGCAATGTTAATGTCTTTTGTGGTTTTTAAAATTGGGTCTATTGAATATATTTTGCCCTGTTGAAAAATATACACTCCACCATCATGACACAAGCAGACCGAAGGAAGCTGAAGGTTTAGAGCCATATCAAATCCCGTCTACGGGAGCCTGCCACTCCCTATTAAAGGTGTAGTTCACTTTTAAAAAAACTTTTGCTGATAATTTACTCACCCCCATGTCATCCAAGATGTCCATGTCTTTCTTTCTTCAGTCGAAAAGAAATTAAGGTTTTTGATGAAAACATTCCAGGATTTTCTCCATATAATGGACTTCAATGGGGTCCAAACGGTTCAAGGTCCAAATGAGAGTTTCAGTGCAGCTTCAAAGGGCTTTAAACGACACCAGACGATGAATAAGGGTAATAATCTAGCGAAACGACCGCTCATTTAAAAAGTAAATAAAAAATATTACGTTTTATTAGCTCAAATGCTCGCCGTGTGATGAGCGTTCGTGACTCTCCTGTTCAAACTCGTTCGTCAAAATTAACAAATCTTTTTTCGAGTCATGACTCGAAGGGTCCTAGATAAGACCCTTATTCATCGTCTGGAATCGTTTAAAGCCCTTTGAAGCTGCACTGAAACTCTCAATTGGACCTTGAACCGTTTGGTTCCCATTGAAGTCCATTATATGGAGAAAATCCTGGATTGTTTTCATCAAAAACCTTCATTTCTTTTTCGACTGAAGAAAGAAAGACATGGACATCTTGGATGACATGGGGGTGAGTAAATTATCAGCAAAAGTTTTTTTGAAAGTCATCTATTCCTTTAAGTCCTATTGTACCGAATTGTGGTTGTAGTTCCACCAGAGTTCCACTGGGGGCGATCGCCCATGAGTGCAAAATGAATGGGAGTCTATGGACGGCTAAATTTGTCTCGTTCACCCGATTGCCATTGAGAAATCTCAGATTTGATTGTAGGTTTTGCAAGTTCAACACGGGTTATAGGTCGAAAGTTGAATGGACGAGTACTTATGTCCTATCGGTTGCCCATAACACGCTAAAAATCGTGGCATCCAATGTTAAGGATGTCTTAACTCTTCTAGCACGTGTGTCAGCTGTTATCGATACCTCAAGAGAAAGGAAAGTGCAGAGCGCGAAAGCACCAAAGTGACTGAAGGATTGCCGTAAAGCAGCATCACTGGTCGGATGACGTGTATGACGTCACTGACGTTTCAAAAGACTATATAAAAAACTCCCAGTAATCTGTCATTTCTTTGCATCTCCTTTCGAAAACAACATTCAAAGTACTAGACAAAAAATGATATCCTGCGAAAAGTGGATTTTGAGGGGTATATCTCCATAGACCTCCATTCGTCCCGTGTGGACGAACCAGTTCAGGAGCCGGACGCTTACTGAGAGTGGGAGTTCTCCCCCATATTAGACAATCTATGGCCATATCAAAGTGATCACATGGTACAAAATGAAAATGCAAGTTAAAGGGATAGTTACCCCAAAATTTAAAAGTCTGGGTTACAATTTATTTGGATGGTCCACTTTAGATGTTGTACTAACTAACTCTCATTAGAGTATCGGTAGACTGTTACATAGGGCTCGGGTTTGTAGAATAAGTTGACATGTTACGTATAGTCAGTCGACTGTATAGAAGTGGACTGTCGAACCAAATCCCGTCATCTTTCACGAGATATATAAACAAGATATTTCTGTCCATCCATTGAAAGTCCATTCAACCAAAACCGCTTGTAAAACTAATTAATATGAGATGAGTGGTTTAATTCAAGTCTTCTGATTCAAAGAGAGACAGTCGATTCATATGAAAAATTGAAATTTGCACACATTGATGCTCATGCTTGTTTGATGCATGAAAACCAATGAGGTTTGTTTTAGAAAAATATCTTTTCAAAGAAAGGATGAGTAAATTATTTACTTTAATTCATATATTTTCATTTTGGGTGGACTGTCCCTTTAATGAAAACTGCTTTGCTCTGGAAATATTCAGATGTTTGGACAAACTGTTGTTTTAAGCCAGCAAATCTCAAAAAATATCTTGCTTACATTGTAGAAATGGTGCAGCATGATTAACCTTTTCAACCCTCTGTCAGCGAAATCTGGAACCAATTTCCAAGGGAACATGAAATTTACAATTTACATGAACACGCAGTTCCCCAAAACGACCCACATGAGGATAGATGCATCTATGGAATGTAATTGCCAACACCCAAACTGTCTCTCTCTAAATGATCCTGTGTAAACCTGAAGTGTTTTGTGTGTGTGTGTCGCACAGATGGCCATGCTGAAGGCGGTCCCCAGGGGCATGTATGACGGCCCCGTGTCTGAGTTTACAGCCCTGTCGAGGGGAGGAACACCGTCCGCCTCCACCCGCTCCTCACCCACCAAAGCCCCCCTGAGGAACCTCCATCAGTCCGGCTTCACGCTATCCGGTAACCCTGGGGAATGATGTCTCGTATTCATACAACAGTGCAGACGCAAACATCAAATTGGCATAATTATTGAGTTAGAGTGGGATAAACACTGACACAGAACATAAATATATGCAAGTTAAGGAGTTATCTATACATTTGATCAAAAATACACAAAAATGCAATTCATATATACAGTAATTTTGACATATTTTTTAGGGCTGGGTAATAAATATCGATTTCTCGATATTAATCGATTCTCATTTTTACAAACCGATATCGATTCTTAAATCTCAAGAATCGATTAGTCATCCTGTTTCGTTTGAATGAATGAGACATTGTTTCGCGGCTGCGCGCATCCAACAAATCGCAATAATCTTTGTCCTTTGTTACTATTGATATGAAACAAAGTCTCAATTTTTAAATTACGTCCATTTTCTTTAGAAATTTAAAAACATAAATAGCGTTTTGGCGCTGTGGCGTGAGATCGCTCTGGAGAAGCAGCAGCGCTGATCTCTCTTCCGGCTTAATAATACCAGCTACAGCGCGAAATAAACATGAATGAGTATCTGAAAGTGTGTTAAAGATAGAGTACAACTTATCGAAATCCCTATCATGACACATTGATTCGCTCAAATTGCGTTTCAACCGTGGAAAGACGTCAGTTAAACAGCTTGTAATCAATGTCATGTATCGTCATATTTACCTCAGAAAACCCACATAAACTCGTTAGTCCACACTCGTTAGTGTTCTTCAATATTTAATGCATATTTGAATAAATCTGGCAAGTTTTTATGACGGCCACCATTTAAATGTTTATATTTCATATAATCTTCTTATTATAAAAATAAATAAAAGTGTAATTTAAGTGTTTGTATAACTACAAAACAGTTCATTATTACCTTCATATTAGGCTAATGAAGCCTATAGGCTACAACTAGACTCCTATAGTTTACAGCATTTAAGAGATTTGATTCCCTTGAGAAAATTTGCCATTTATTGTAACTGATATCCGAAATAATCGATATTGAATCGAATCGTAATCGAAATCGAATCGAATTGCAAGCTTGTGAATCGAAATCGAATTGTGAAATTTGTCTCAATACCCAGCCCTAATATTTTGAAGCATAAAGTAGAACACGTCACAATGAAGAAATTATCGTTCTCTTGAAAACAAAACCCTGTTAAGTAGTTTATCATGATTTATTTTATTGCAGTTTTGTTAAAAATATTAGAAAATATTTTAAACACTTTTGTCTGCCAAATAAGTCATTTTTAAACCTGTTTGTTTAGATAATTGCGACTTTTTATCTCACAATTCAGACGTTTTTTTCCTCAAGATTGCGAAATATGAATTGTGGGAAAGTCATAATCACCTTTTTATATATTCAGTGGCAGAAACGTAAAATATAAAATATATTACTAAAAAGTATAATATATATTATATATATATATAATTTTATTATTAGTAGTTATCATAGATTAGGTATCATTTGAAAGCTTACAAACTCAGAATCCATCCTGTGAAAACCGTTTTGAGATTGGACGTTGTGTTACCATAGAAACGGTACTTTTTTTTATTAGGCCCCTCCCCTTTTGGGCATCATCTTTCATAATATATTATCAAAACCTTTTCTAATCTTGACAAAGCACATATTGTCAGAAAGGTCTGAGTCTCAAGGTTCCATATTTAGCGACCGAAGTGATATTTGGATAGAAATTTATTAATTTGTTATGGCAGAATGCATACAACTAAATTCAATGGAATTCAATAGCACCTGGTGGCTATTTTTGGTACTACGCCTAAACAAAATCTCATGGGAACTTCAATTTTTGTGATATCAACTTTAAATTTGGAACACAACTTGGTTAGATATATAGCTTTCATTTTATAGTAATTTTATAGTAAAAAAAGATTCATTTTATATTAATGAAAGTATATTTGATTTACTGTAAATTATAACTTCCATAACTTTTTCATACTTTATTTTTTTGAAGTGCTTTCACTTCAGTAATAATTTGCTGATTATTTTCTTTAAAACAAGACCAAACTTAGGTCTATATTCCAAAGCATACTTGAATTACAACCATTTAAATTTGTATAGTGCATTTTAATGTCAATTATCAAAAGGGGGGTGACAGGCAAAGGGTTAATAACACTCTTATTATAATAACAACAACAACATATTGTTATAATTTTTTTTAAACTAAATTGTATTAAACTTTTTTGTGAATTATTGTGGGTTTTATCCATTTTTATTTTTTATGTTTCAGAACATATGCAATTTAAAAGACATCACAATAAACTTAAAGGTCTTTTAAAAGTTCTCTCTAATTTTAGTAAGTAACACTAAAGAAATGTTTTTAGTTTTATCTTGAGTAACAATTCTACTCTTATATTATAGCTAATTTAGCTTTTGTTTATGGTGAAATTAAGTTGTAAAAAGCCCCAAAAATATTATATTGTCCTACTGTACATTTTAGTAACATTTTGGCTTATGCCTAAAGAAAATATACTGATTAAGTATGGTCAGAATTTAAGATGTAATCAAACCATAAATATAATTGAGAACAACTTTTTTGTTGTCGGTCCAATGTTTTTGTGTGTTTAAAATGTGTATTTTTCCGTATAAAGGAGGTCCACCAAAACTGAATAAGCACATCAATTCCAAATTTAACGTATAGGGACATCACAAACAGTCCTGGCTCACACAGAAAGCACTTTAAACCCAGACCGAGCAGCTGTTGGTCCACGCTGCAACTTCACACGAACAACTTGAACACAAGCGCCATCATGTAACCCTCTCTCTCTCTCTGTCCCGTCACAGGTCCTGAAGAAGCCCCCATCAGACCAGCGGGACGACGCATCGTTGTGCCCCCTGGTGGCCGCTCCAACATCACCTCTCTTAGTTAGATATAAGGAGCATGTAAGAGGGAGCGCCAGGATAAAATCAACCATGTAGAAGTAAGGTGATTAGTCAGGGTAAGAAACGTAAAACACTGAACTCATGCCTTACCCTTCATGATTTACTCCTGCTGAGCGACTGAACATCAGTAGTCCACCTCTGAAGAAAGCAAAGCCCGTTCAAAAACCAGGGCATTTAGTGTAGCGTTCTGTTCGTTTAGATGTGTTTGGATAAACTGACCTAGAAGACATTAGAATTACAGTGAAACCCACTTTGTTTGCAATGTTTAAAAAAGGAAGTAGAATTAAAACTCGTTAGCATTTCCGGCAGGCGTTTGCGTTCAGTAGAGGAAGGACTACTGTCATGTATTTCATAGGGCTTTATCTGTATTCCCTCGTAAGCTTTTTCTTTGCGCGTATATATCGGCTGTGATTATGCTAGTTAATGTTACTTTGTAAATGAAGTGTCGAGTTTGCATTTTTTTTTTAAGGATTATAACGTTGAATGAATGTTAAGGAAAAACATGCAATGATATACTACAAAACATTTGCACCACACCAGTGCACATACTGTACTGCTTTTGTTACCCGTCATATGAACTTTGAATCTCAGTAAAGGAAAAGAAAGGTTAACTAGACTTCATGTCAAATGAGTGATGGAAAGATATTCAGCTTTTGCATTTCAGTTTCGTTGAATATTCAGGCGACTACAATTACAGCTCAAATGTCAATTGAAAAATGATTAACAGGTGCTACAATGTCTTTTCTTAAATCACAGAAGTATTGGAGTAAGTTTTTAAAATCTACATCTTTGGTAGAGGTCTAGTTGAGGAATGAGTTACATGTCCTACATAACAAGTGATGTGGAATATGTTGTTTATTATATTTATGTAGGTTTGATTGTATTCCCCCCCCCCCCCGTTTTTTTTTAACAGCTGGGTCAAAAATGAAGGAGAAAAAAGCAGGTCAAAGTGAATGTGTGATGTGCAAAATTTGTTCCTCAATAAACAGAAGTTACAACTGACTGCCTGTATATGATTTGTCACGTTCGAGGAAATAAGAACTGGCCTAAAACATGCGTGCACACAAACATCAAAATATAATGAAACATTTACAACACTACCCTTGTGAAAAAAAGAGTGCACTTTAGTGTACTTTTACAAAGTGTACTTATTACAAAAATAATACACTTTAAATGTATCACTTAAGTGTGACTTAAATGCAATCTTTTCGGGGAACTGAATGCACATTAAGTGTAATTTATTTCAAATATATCATTACAATATTACAAATATATCAAATATTTATTTCAAATATGATGTCAGATCAATAACAAAACGAGCTGTTTTTAGAGCTTGATTAAATAAATGCTTTGTTTATGAGGAAGACTTTTAAAGCTCTGAAACTAGCAGCTAACTAGCTTTTATATGTCAAAAATCAAGGCAAATTGGATTTCTCATGTCATGACCCCTTTAAAAGCGGCCCAGAGTTAAGTGCAATAAAGCACAATAAAGTGCATACCTCCGCTATTATTTCTCCATTTTCTGCGTGGACCTGTGCAATTCCTCCATGCTCTCCGAGAAAGGTGAAGATCTCATAAAGCTGTTCAAATATAAATATAAATATCATATTAGATATTAAATAGTGAGGTTTAACAAGAAAATATAGCTTATGTTACAATGTGTTCAAGTGGTGACATAAAACGGTTATTTGTTAGTTCAGATGAACCAGTTTAAGTGACTGAAGTCTAAAAATCAAGCCATTTTCAGTTAATAGAAGAATAATATTTATAGAGCTTATTATTTATTTTATTACAAGTATATAAATAATCATTAATAAACAGCAACATTCTTAAACATGAAATGAAACAAACTATTGTTTTGAACTGATACATTCAAACAGACAGCACAAAAAATGCCTCCACAAACACTATTTAAGACTTTTTATATTACAGACATAAGACATTTAAGTGATTTGTAAGGATCTGCAGGTACTCTGTTTAATATGCCTGGCCTACATTACATTATACCAACGAAAATTTTAAGGGTCAGATCATAAAGAACTAACACCCAAAAACTGTTAACTGTTAAGAATTAAGTTTCTCCAATCTTCTCAAAACTCTGGATTCTGATAGAGGACCATGAGACTTAGACTTGAGTGGAAAAATGGAGGCTCTAGACCCTTCCAGAGTTGAGATATTGAGATCCCACGCAGCATTTATGCCATTATAAATATCTCAATATCTCGGCTCTGGAAGGGTCTAGAACCTCCATTTTTGCACTCAGGTCTAAGTCTTTATATTTCCTGCTTTATATTTTGGGGTGAAGTGTGACCAGGATCTGGGTTTTTTTGAGATTCACATCCTGACTGTGGTGTGTGTGTGTGTGTGTGTGTGTGTGTGTGTGTGTGTGTGTGTGTGTTTGTTTGTGTGTATGTGTGTTTGTGCATGTGCACCTGCTGTCTGGTCAAGTACACAGTAGTGCAGTGTCAGATCAGTGCTGTGTGTAATAAGTCCAGCAGTGATTATGTGGATGAGTGCGTGTTGGCGCTGATTGTGTCCTCTTCACATCCGTTCCTCCACTCCTCCAGCACCTGACTGCCAGCACTCACTTCAGTCCCTAATATGAAGACATGTTGTGATGGATCCGTGTCAATATCGGGATTATGATAACACCTGGTTTGGCCTATACAACCTTTAACATATCTCAGCTCTGGAAGGGTCTAGAGCCTCCATTTTTTCACTCAGGTCTAAGTCTCATGGCCCTCTATCAGAATCCAGGGTTTCAAGAAGATCAGAGAAACTCAAAATTTCAACCACAAAAAAAAAAAAAAAAAATGACAGTGGTACCCCTTTCATTTTTGTGGAGGGGGGGGCGAGAAAATCAAGTTTCTCCAATCTTCTAAAAACTCTGGATTCTAATAGAGGACCATGAGACTTAGACCTGAGTGCAAATATGGAGGCTCTAGACCCTTCCAGAGCTGAGATGTCGAAACTCAAAAATTTAAAGGTTCTCTAAGCGATGCTGGGCCAAAATATTTTTTGTCACATACATCAAACGTCTCCTCACTATCGGCTAGCTGCCTGTCCCCTAAACACACTGTAAAAAAACGCGGTCTCTGTAGACACCACAGGCTCCACAAACGGCAACAAAAAAATCATGTCTTACCCGGACCACGAAACCTAACAAACAGTGTTCCAGCCAATCACTGGCAAGAAGTATTTGAGGGTGGGTCTGGGGGGTTAGTGCGCGTGCACATGAAGGGTGTGTGTGTGTGTGTGAAGGAGAGCAGCGAATCATCAGAGGGAAGTTTGAAAAATTACCGACACACGACAAAGAGACGTCGTTCTGAGGAACAAATTAAAAAGAAGAAGGAGTCGAATAAAGAACGTGCGAAGTTCCGAATTTACATCGGTAGCAAAGCTTTTGAACGATGGCGAGAACTCCGCGGCAGAAGGGTTCCAGTCTGACATTCAAGTTGCTCTGTTTTTGCTTGACAGGTGGGTACGTTAAATTGTTTTTTTTTCTTCTAAATTGACGCTTATGTTCGCTAAACCCACACAAGGATATAATTAGCTAGAACTATGCACGTTCACAATTATTTCAGGAAGCACGGAAGGAAGGGGGAGGAGATGAGATGCGGAGGAGGGAGGGTCTAGCTCCGATTTGTTTGAAAATATTCGAACGTCAACACCCAGGATCGCACAGAGAACCTTTAACCCGAAAAAAAAAAACGACAGTGGTACCCCTTTGGTTTTTTTTGGTTTTTTTGGGCAAAAAATTAAGTTTCTCCAATCTTCTCAAAACTCTAGATTCTGATAGAGGGCCGTGAGCCTTAGACCTGAGTGCAAAAATGGAGGCTCTAGACCAGGGGTGCCCAATCCTGCTCCTGGCGATCGACTGTCCTGCACAGTTCATCTCCAACCCTAATCAAACACAGCTGAATGTGATCCTAAAGACCTTAATTGGCTACTTCAGGTGTGTTTGATTAGGGTTTGAGATGAACTGTGCAGGACAGTTCGATCGCCATGAGCAGGATGGGCAAGCCTGCTCTAGACCCTTCCAGAGCTGAGATATCGAAACTCAAAAATTCGACCCGAAAAAAAAAACGACAGTGGTACCCTTACGTTTTTTTTTTTGGGCGAAAAATTAAGTTTCTCCAATCTTCTCAAAACTCTGGATTCTGATAGAGGGCCATGAGACTTAGACCTGAGTGCAAAAATGGAGGCTCTAGCCCCTTCCAGAGCTGAGATATCGAAACTCAAAAATTCGACCCGAAAAAAAAAACGACAGTGGTACCCCTTACGTTTTTTTTTTTGGGCGAAAAATTAAGTTTCTCCAATCTTCAAAAATTCTGATAGAGGGCCATGAGACTTAGACCTGAGTGCAAAAATGGAGGCTCTAGACCCTTCCAGAGCTGAGATATCGAAACTCAAAAATTCGGCCCGAAAAAAAAAACGACAGTGGTACCCCTTACGTTTTTTTTTTTTTTGGGCGAAAAATTAAGTTTCTCCAATCTTCCAAAATTCTGGATTCTGATAGAGGGCCATGAGACTTAGACCTGAGTGCAAAAATGGAGGCTCTAGCCCCTTCCAGAGCTGAGATATCGAAACTCAAAAATTCGGCCCGAAAAAAAAAACGACAGTGGTACCCCTTACGTTTTTTTTTTGGGCGAAAAATTAAGTTTCTCCAATCTTCTCAAAACTCTGGATTCTGATAGAGGGCCATGAGACTTAGACCTGAGTGCAAAAATGGAGGCTCTAGCCCCTTCCAGAGCTGAGATATCGAAACTCAAAAATTCGGCCCGAAAAAAAAAACGACAGTGGTACCCCTTACGTTTTTTTTTTTGGGCGAAAAATTAAGTTTCTCCAATCTTCCCAAAACTCTGGATTCTGATAGAGGGCCATGAGACTTAGACCTGAGTGCAAAAATGGAGGCTCTAGCCCCTTCCAGAGCTGAGATATCGAAACTCAAAAATTCGGCCCGAAAAAAAAACGACAGTGGTACCCCTTACGTTTTTTTTTTTTTGGGCGAAAAATTAAGTTTCTCCAATCTTCCAAAACTCTGGATTCTGATAGAGGGCCATGAGACTTAGACCTGAGTGCAAAAATGGAGGCTCTAGCCCCTTCCAGAGCTGAGATATCGAAACTCAAAAATTCGGCCCGAAAAAAAAACGACAGTGGTACCCCTTACGTTTTTTTTTTTGGGCGAAAAATTAAGTTTCTCCAATCTTCCCAAAACTCTGGATTCTGATAGAGGGCCATGAGACTTAGACCTGAGTGCAAAAATGGAGGCTCTAGCCCCTTCCAGAGCTGAGATATCGAAACTCAAAAATTCGGCCCGAAAAAAAAACGACAGTGGTACCCCTTACGTTTTTTTTTTTGGGCGAAAAATTAAGTTTCTCCAATCTTCCCAAACTCTGGATTCTGATAGAGGGCCATGAGACTTAGACCTGAGTGCAAAAATGGAGGCTCTAGCCCCTTCCAGAGCTGAGATATCGAAACTCAAAAATTCGGCCCGAAAAAAAAACGACAGTGGTACCCCTTACGTTTTTTTTTTGGGCGAAAAATTAAGTTTCTCCAATCTTCCAAAACTCTGGATTCTGATAGAGGGCCATGAGACTTAGACCTGAGTGCAAAAATGGAGGCTCTAGCCCCTTCCAGAGCTGAGATATCGAAACTCAAAAATTCGGCCCGAAAAAAAAACGACAGTGGTACCCCCGTTTTTTTTTTTGGGCGAAAAATTAAGTTTCTCCAATCTTCCCAAAACTCTGGATTCTGATAGAGGGCCATGAGACTTAGACCTGAGTGCAAAAATGGAGGCTCTAGCCCCTTCCAGAGCTGAGATATCGAAACTCAAAAATTCGGCCCGAAAAAAAAAACGACAGTGGTACCCCTTACGTTTTTTTTTTGGGCGAAAAATTAAGTTTCTCCAATCTTCCCAAATTCTGATAGAGGGCCATGAGACTTAGACCTGAGTGCAAAAATGGAGGCTCTAGCCCCTTCCAGAGCTGAGATATCGAAACT